TTGTTTGTGTTTTTCTAGTTCCTTGAGGTGTTAGGTTGTTGATACGTGATCTTTCAATCTTATTAATGTAGGCCTTAAGTACTGTCAAATTTCCTCTGAACGCAGTTAAAGCTATGGTTTTGTTAATGTGCTTCATTGTTGTCATTCATTTTGAGGAATTTTTAAATTTCCATCTTAATTTCATTGTTGATTCAAAGATAATTCAGGAGCAGATTGTTTAACTTGCACGTTTTTATTTGGTTTCATGAGTTATCTAGTTTTATTCCATGGTGGTCTGAAAATGTGGTTGATACAATTCCAATTATTTCGAACTTATTGAGACTCAATTTGTGTCCTATCATATGGTCTATCTTGGAGAATGTTCCATGTGGTAATAAGAAAAATGTATATTCTGTAGTTTTGGAGTGGGATGTTCTGTAGATGTCTACTAGTTCCATTTGCTCTAGGGTCCAATATAACTCCAATATTTCTTTTTCGTCTTTCTGCCTTCATGATCTGTCTACTGCTGTCAGTGGAGTATTAAAGTCTCTCACTAGTATTGTATTCCTGTCTATCTCCTTTTTTAGATCTAGTAAAGTATGTTGTATAAAACTGGGGGCTCTGTTGTTAGGGGCATATATACTTAAAGTTGTTATGTATTCTTGTTGGATTGATCTCTTTATCATTATATAATAATCATCTTTGTCTTTTTTCACTGTTGTTAATTTAAAGTCTATTGTATCTAATATGAGAATGGCTGCTCCTGCTCGTTTTTGGCTTCTATTTGCATGGAATATTATTCCGCACCCCTTTACTTTGAGTCTTTGAGAGTCTTTGTGTGTTAAGTGGGTCTCTTGAAGGCTGCAGATATTTGGATTGTGATTTTTCATTCCATTCTGCCAGTCTGTATATTGTTAGTGAGCATTTACATTCAGAGTTAATAATGATATGTAAGGTAGTATTCCAGTCATCATACAGGCTGGTGTTAGTTGATTGATTGATTGATTTGCTTGTTTCCTCTATACTGTTGGTGTTCCATAAGGCCTGTGAGCTTTGTGAATTCCAGCATTTTTCTACTGGTGTATTTCAACCTTTTGTATATATCTATCTATCCATCTATTTATCTATTTTTTGAGTTTGAGTCTCACTCTTGTGGCCCAGGCTGGAGTGCAGTGGCACACTCACAGCCACTGCAACCTCGACCTACTGGACATGGGTGATTCTTTCACCTCAGCCTTCCAAGTAGCTGAAACTACAGATGCACACCACCACATCCAGCTAGTTTTTGTGATTTACTGTAGAAACGAGGTCTCACAAGTTTCCCAGGCTGGTCTCGAATCCTCAGGTCTTGACTTGGCCTCCCAAAGTGCTGGAATTACAGGCTGAGCCACCACACCCAGCCTATATCAATATTTAGAACTCATCTCTTGTAGAGTCAGTCTAGTCACCACTAAAATTGCCTCAGCATTTTTTTGTCTGAGAAAGACTTCAATTCTCCTTCATTTATGAAATTTTTTTATCCTTGACTATTATTTCTGTTTGAGGAGACTGAAGATGGGGACCCACTCCCTTCTGGCTTGAAGGGTTTCTTCTAATAAGCCTGCTGTTAGTCTGATAGGTTTACCTTTGTAAGTTATTTGATGCTATTGCCTCACTGCTCTTAAAATTCTTTCTGGGGTGGGGGGCAGAGAGGGAACACCTTATCAATAAGGGTACCTGATCTCAAACCATAAGTGGGGACCAAAGTGAAGCCCAAACTTTACCTACATAGTGATCACTTATATACCTAACCCTGAACTGTACCCCACATCTTTAAAATAGGAAAAATGTAAACAATTATTGCCTTCACATTAACTTTGCATAACCAGATGATTATATGCTTTGGGGATGACCTTTCTGTAATGACTCTTCTGGGGATTCTTTGGGCTTCTTGTTTCTGGATGTTTAAATCTCTGGCAAGACCTGAGAAGTTTTCCTCCATTATTCCCTCAAATAGGTTTTCAAAACCTGTTGCTTTCTCTTCTTCCTCAAGAACGCCTATGATTCTTAGGTTTGGATATTTTACTTAATACCACATTTCTTAGAGAGTTTGTTCCATTCTTTTGATTCTTTCTTCTTTATTTTTGTCTGATTGGATTAATTCCAAAGCCTTGTCTTCAGGTTCTGAGATTCTTTCTTCTGCTTGTTCTAGTCTACTGTTAAACTTTCCATTGCATTTTGTACTTCCCTGAATGATTCTGTAATTTCCAGAATCTTAGTGTTGTTGTTGTTGTTTTTTAGTTGCCTGTCACTTTGGAGAATTTTTTGTTCATGTTCTGGATAGGCTTTTTAATATTTTTTTGGTGGCCTTCAATTTTCTCCTGAAGCTCATTGATCAATTCCAACATTCTTGCAATGGCACTAAAACATGCAACAACAATATTGAATGCCACTCAGCAAGACACCACCACACATTGATATGAACACACACATTGATATGAACACCACACATTGATATGAGACATTGATAGATCAAGGTTATGAAACCTTACTGAGTTGTTTATACAGTGCTGCCAATATCAGCACACAGTGGCAAGCTCATGAACTTAATTGTCAGACCTTATATATGCAATGTGGTAGGCTATGCTGTTGACTTCTGGCCAAGAGTTGATACTTATGGGGAAAAAGCTAGCTGCCATCATGGCTATCGGGTTTCTCCTTGGCGAGTGTTGCTCCGTGGAAGTGCCCAGCCAACCTAGTGGGGCTCTGGGAATTACCAAGTTCTCTGTTTTGTACCTGGGGACAGGGGATAGGAGCACAAACACCCAATACATGTGCACTCTGGGCTACCACAGTGGGGATTTGAAGGGATTCCCAGGCCACTGGGTTAACACTGTTGTTCAAAGCAGGCACAAAAGAGTTTACTTGGGGAGTGAGAAGTTTCTATGGCAACAAGTTCCACCTGGTTCTCTGCCTTAGTCTTAGGCAGTTTGCCTTCTGAATGTCAAAGTACAGCCAGCCTTGGGGCATCAGGTATTCTCACATCAGCTCATCCCAGCCAGGAACTGTCTGTCTCTGAGGATTTTGCCGTTGGGACCTGTCCTCTTCCAGGCTGGCTGGAAAGCAGCCTGGGTTCCTGGGAAATGGCAGCTGGAACTGCTCAGGGATTTCTTTCTTTCTTTCTTTTTTTCCCTGCACTATTCCATGTGCATTTCAGCAGAGCACAGCTGTGGGTAAGGCACTTTCCTGTGAGGGAGTGGCATCCCACAAGGTTCAGGGGGCCCTCCAAATCTGCAACGGGAGCACAGATCTCCTGAATTTCCCTTACTCATCTTTCCTACTGCATCTGGAGGCTGTTGGTGGACTGTAATGGTCCAGGCAAGAGTCTGGCTAGTTCCAGCCCAAGTCGATGGATTTTTCTCTTCTTTGTGCTATGTGGTTAATATTACTTTTTTTTTGATGAGTCATGGGGCATACTGCTGGTCATGATCCTCTCTGAGTGCTGAGGAAACTATCTTGTTTTACTCTTTAGGAGAAATAAACTCTAGCTGCCTCACGTTGACCATCTTAATCCAGCCATCTCTTAGTGGCCGTTTTTAGGCTAAACTTGCCCCACTCTGAAAATATCTTAAAGTCTTTACTGAAATATGTCCTGTTATGCTATCAGGTTTAGGTATACAGTAGTAATTTCCTATTAATTTTTTCCCAAAGACACAAAAGGATCCAAGAATGAGACTATAGGCCAATTAAATATGAAGAAGATTCACCTATTCCTTGGAATGGCATGCCATAGTGCAGTGGTTCTGGGCCAGCATCATCCGCATCAGCTGGTGAAATGCGAAATTCTCAGGCATGCCCAGACCTACTGGATCAGAACTCTGGGCCTGGGACCCTGCCCTTTGTGTGTTAATAGCCTCCAGGTGAGGCTGATGTACACTCAAGTTGGAGAACCACTGCTGTAATGAAGCAGAGGGTTCTGATATGGTGGGGAGCTGTGGGCCAGGCATTTGCCTCTGGGGATCTCTGTATGGGTGGGAGAGGGGTGTGAGGAGGGAAGCTTTTTCCAATCCAGACATCATGAGAAAGAACTAAATTGCCTCTATCTGGGTGATCTTGGATCCCGATTTCTGGCTGTAGAGTTCTTTGCAGTCTGAAGCACCAATCTGGGGTTCAGGGTTGTGGGAAAAACTCAGTTCTGTTCTGGAAGTATTCGCTTTAGGGAGAAAAATGTTAAAAGGCATTTAAGCAATTTAACTAGTGAATAAACATTCAGTGTTTACCATAATATAAACCTTGATAGGTTATTTTGCGGAATACATCACTGTTACACTTAAAAAACAAAAGGAAAAACAAGAGTTCTAAACCTTTTTCTGCTTCTTATGCAACTCGGGCTGTGCTTCCCTGACCCACCAAGGGTAGAAGCTGCCTCTTCTCTGCTCTCAGACATGCCTTTTTAAATAGGTTTGAGACACAGGGGCTCTGTGAGAACTAGGTCTTCCTCCCTGACAGTGTGCCTACCAGTTCCCAGCCCTGCCTGAATGAGCCCTGGGCTTCCCTACCTCAGCAGAAGGGCGTGTGGTTCTTGTTATATGCTGAGGCTCTTGGTTATTTCACCAAAATACAGGTGACCCATGCAGCCCCGAGGGGAACATGTGAAATTGTGGCTATACCAGGTGGGATGAGGAGTCAGGCTTTACTCCCTACCCAGGGCCTCTGCCCCAGGCATCTCTGACTCAGGGCCAGGGAGAGTTCAGGCCTTGGCATGACTTCAGTGGGCACTTTCGCCTTCATGAGTGTCCTCCTCCAGGCCAGACACCAAAAAACATCTTGGACAACTGTGTGGGTGTAAAGGCAAATATAACCAGGCTGGATTCTGTTCATTGTTTTCCCTTCTGATTTTAAAAGGAAAGAAAATATTTTCTCGGGCATCCGAAAGACCAGGGACTGGCTGAGCTTCCTGGAGAAGTCGACCTTGTAGGGCAGCCTCTTTAAAACCCCTCCGAGTCTTCAGTACAGAATAACCCAGCCCTCTGGTTCTTTAGAAAATCGGCTGCGATGGCATCATCGGGTCTGCGGCCAAAGAAGACCGGTGTGGGGTCTGCAGCGGGGACGGCAAGACCTGCCGCGTGGTGAAGGGCGACTTCAGCCACTCCCGGGGGACGGGTGAGTGTTGCACCCTTGGGGCTGCCACATCTGCAGGACAACCAAGACACATGCTGTGGATTGTGTTTCCTTTGTCCCAAAGCAGCTGATTGTGTCTTCCCCTCATTTCCTGCTTAAGGGCTAGATGGTCAGGGATGGTGGCCTGGCACTTCAGTTTTGCTTCTGAGAGGCAAAGAAGGACAGTGAAGCAAGAATGATGACTTCAGGTTCCTAGAAGTGAATAGTTTGCCTGTGAAAGGGAATAGCTCCCAGCTCAGCAGTTCAGCCTGTGGTCCACAAATCAGCTGTAGCTGCCCTGGCAGCTTTCTGACAGCCCACCTCCTGATGTGCAGGCAGAGAAGGGGGCAGAATGATTTTGCCAAATCATTTTTACCTGTCAATGGAAGAGGTTTGCTCTGTTTCCAAATTTCCCATCGGCAAAAGTAGGAGGGCATTTACCACATCTCCAAAACACACACAAAGCTGTAGAGTCTGGAAAGTCTCCTATGCCTCTGCCAACTGTGAACCCAGAATAGTTGTTTCCTGGTTCCCAAGTGTAGATATCCCCCAGCACTGTCCTTAGAGAGGTATGTCCTCATTCAGTTGACAGGCCTTCATCTTTCTGCTTGTACCACCGTCACAGCCAGAAGCTGCTTTGTCCTAAGTGGCAGATGGCTTCCTGATTTCCTGTCCTGGAGGACACCAGCCCAGAGACATATCTGCAGATGATATTTAGTGAGGGTTTGAGGCAGACAAGCCACCTGGAGGCAGAGCTCTTGAGCCCTTAGTGAGTATCTACTCACCGAGCCTCACCAAGAGAACTCGGTAGGTGGAACTAAGCTGAGAAACTTCTATTTTAATTGCCAAAAGTTGCACAGAAGCTTTTTAAGTTCAGTTCTACCCAAGAAGAGAACCAAATCACAATTGTAATTCCCTGTTCCATGGAACAGTCCCATAGGTTAAGGCAGAGAGGAGGGGTGCATACCCTCTGTCCCTGTTTTCTATCCAGATGGAAACCCCAGTCTAGAGGAAACGTACCTTCTAGATACCTGTGGAAAGGGCATCCAATTGCACAAACATATCGTAGGATCACACAAAAGCAAAACCAGAGATAAATGCAAACGCAAAATTAAATTTAAAAATGAAATTTTAAGCCCAGTAAGGACTGGTTTCAGGATTTTAAAGACAGATGTCTTGTCAGCAAGACAGAGCCTGCCACTTGGTTCCTGAAGCAAATGGGAGAAGGTGATGCCAGAGCAAGTCAGTCTGGGGAGAAAGTGCCCTCCGGGGAGCTACACTGTCCAGTGCAGTAGCTGCTGGAGTCTATCCAAATTGAAGCTATGATTAATTAAGATTAAACAAACTTCAAAATTCATCCTCCGTCACACAAGCCATGTTTCAAGAGTTCCATCACTACACACAGTTCGCAGCCCCTGTATTGGGCAGCACAGGTAGAGAACAGTCCCAGCACCACAGAAGTTTCTCCTGAACAGCAGGGCTCTGGAACTTGGATCATTTCTGCAATTTGTTGTGACATATTTGATGCCATTTTTCTCTCTTGGTGACCCAGCTTCTGGGTTCCCATGACACTCTGACCATGCCTATTGTAGCTGTGCCAACAGTTAGGAGAAAAACCTCTGCATTTGGCAAGGGGTGGCTATTTACTGTTGGGTTTTGATTTTTGAGTCGGGATCTCACTCTGTTGCCCAGGCTAACGTGTAGTGGCACAATCACAGCTCCTGGCAGAGTCGACCTCCTGGGCTCAGGTGATCCTTCCACTTCAGCATCCCAAATAGCTGGGACTGCAGGTATGCCCCACCACACTGGCCAATTTTTTACAATTTTTTTGTAGAAACAAGGTTTTGCTATGTTGCCCAGGCTGGTCTCGAACTCCTGGACTCAAGCAATCCACCTGCCTTGGCCTCCCAAAGTGCTGGGTTTATAGGAGTGTACCACAGCATCCAGCTGTTTTGTTTTTTGAAGCATCAGAACCCTTTGTTTAAATTGAATGTTCTGCCAAGTTCCCATAAGCAGAACTGATTATAGATACATTATTCTGTGAAAGGGAGGCAGAACACAGCCATGCCTGTCCCTGTCCTGGGACAATTCTGTAGAACACTAAGGAAAGCTCCACCACACACCTTTGAAAACCTCCACTGTATGCAACAGAGCAGCTCACTTCTGAGCAACCCAGATTAGAGCAAAAGATTTCTCCCTCTCCCCAGACTCTGATCTGTGTACTGGCCCTTGGTTTGACCTTGGCAGATTCATTCTTCCATCGCCAGTTACATCCTTTCTCCTGGCCTCTCTTTTGGCTTCTCCATCTACCCCTGGCTGGGCCCCATCTCTGTCTGGAGTGTACAGTCTTCTTCCTGGTGAGGTCAGGTTTCTGTGGCCATGGCAGCGGGTCTCCCATGGAAGAACATACCACGCTGGAAGCTTCCTTGGGATAGCTGTCCCCACCCTGGCTTGCCACTTAGTGTCCCTCCTTCTGTCTGCCAAGGCACTGAAGCCTTAGCAAATCTTCACAGAGAGAGTTAAACGCACATTAGCTTCACCCACCTATATGCACGTGTTCTATCATCCTGAGTTGTTACCAGTGGTCATACATTCATTTCAAAGTACAAAAGTAATTTTTTTCAAATCCTCATAGGAGTCTGAGAATAAGTCCATAATTGTTGAAAATCTATGTGCAGTGCTCATTCACACATGAATGAATCACTGGCTGCCTATCTGGTATAGTAAGTACCCTATATACAAACAAGTTTTGTTCTGAGAGCACATTTATAAGTCCAGTTTATTCATAAGTGCAACGAAGTTAGCCTAGGTACCCATCTAACTCAGTTAGCTATACAGTACTATACTTAATAGGTTTATAATACATTTTTAAACAAATAATACATAAACCAACCAACCAACACAAAAATATAAAGATATGTATCAGCTACATCACTGCTGCTTTTACTCCTGCTTCCAGGTATCCTGGGCTTAAAATAAAGATACTCTACTGCTGAACCCTAACTGTACAGGAAAGAACACAGAGGCACACAATCATTTGTAGAAGATGTACACACGTGACAGTATATGCCACACATGTGAACATTATGTAATTGGACACGCGAACACACATTCACATCTTTGAAAATTCGTAACTTGAAGGTTCGTATATAGGCGAATTACTGTATGGTTCCATTAAACACAAACCTGTCATCATGGTCTAACATACTGGAATGCATGAATACAGGGATACTAGCAAATGGTCACCCACAAGTTTATTCATCCGATAAACATTTATTTAGTAGGATGACATTTTAAGTATGAGGTAGACAGAAATCAGTTACTGTCATCACACTGGTCACAGTCAAGGGAGGAAACCTCCAGCAAACAGGCTGAGACCATGTGAGCATGAAGGGGAGGCAGCCCAGCAGGGGTGTTTGGGGTGCCAATTTCTGGTGGGGGTACTTCGTCCAGGCCTGTGGACAGATGAAGGTAGCCCCCTGCCCTAAAGGACAATGGAGGTGGGAAGAGGATATTTCAGGCTGAAGGAGAAATACAACCTTATGAGACTCAGCATGGAAATCACAGAAAGCCCAGATCATTTAGCATCTCAGTGACTCCAAGTGCTGCTGGGTGGATTCGCTCATCCTGTCAGCCTAGATAGGTGGGTAACTTTCATCTCTGCCTGGCTCCAAGGAATGAGGAAAGGAGGAATGACTTATCACCTTGAGGGGGAATACCAAAGAGAAACACCACACTAGAAGGATAAAATGTGATCAGATGCAGGATTTTTGCCCAATTCTGTGAAGTCCTGGCGCCTGCCTGAACTCCACTGGGTCCTCTTATCAAAGTTCTTGAGCTGAGAATCCAGGTCAGACCCACATAGGGTGCAGTGGCCCGGCCCAGCCCAGGGAGAGGCTGATTTTCCTCTCAGTGTTGTGAGCCGTCCCAGTGCAGCACTAGGGAATGGCAGCCTGAATGTCGAGTGGTTGTGAGGTGCTTGGCTGCTCATTTGCAGAAGGAATCAACTCAGCTTGGCTATCATGCTGCTTTTCTCATGGATGGGCTTTGAAATGCTCAAGCCATCCATTTGGTTGGGCCGAGACAGCTGAGTTATTTGAAATTAGTCATTTGAAATTAGTCATTCTTGGCATGATGCTTTCATCAAATTGTCATATTAGCATGATCCTCTTTATTCCATCCTGCTCCTCAGCACTAGAAAGGTGACTGATCAGTCTCCAGATGACTGGCCCACGACAGCCAGGACACACCTGGACTGCAATCCCCACCAAGAACCAACCAGGATGCCCTGTGGGCTCTGAATCCCTTTGTTCTTAGAGAGCACCTTTGCAAAAGGTTAATTCTTAAAGAGTGGCATGACTCATCCCCTTGGAATGTGAGTGGGTCCGTGTATCACCTGTTTATTCGGTGGTTACCATTAGAAGCCCTGCCGCGTGCCAGGTTCTGTGTTTGGTCTCTAGGTGTGGGATGTGGACGTCCCACAGGGAAATACACTGTTCTGTGCTTACAATACAAAATGAGGCTGAGATTTAGAACGACAGTATCACTTCCTTAAGTATGCACATGAGCCAATGACAGTATCTTTCTCTTTCTCAGTCAAGAATAATCTTTGTACGAAGGTGTCCACGTGTGTGATGGCAAAGGCTGTTCCCAAGTGTTTCTCATGTAAGATGTCTGGCTGTTCCGTTTAGCCCCAGTGGTGATGAGCTTGGTGTGGGGATCTCGCCATGCTTCCATGCTTGAATGTTTTCTGGATAGATTCAGTAGGAATGAGTCATGCATGAAGCCATGGATAAATGCAAAGGCCATTAAATGCCTTATATATAACTGATGTCAAGACCTATTGCCAAAAAGAAAAACTGTAGCGTAAAACCAATTTTAAAGATATAAACGTTAAAGAGTCCTGGGATCAAAATGGCCAGTTGGAAACATGCTTCATGTGCTGGGGGGACATTTTCTTTCTCCTCAACCACACCTGGCATATTAGCAGAAAATGCCAAGAT